CATTCTTTTTAAAAGGGTTTATATGGTTTTCTAGCCTGGGCAGTGTTATAGGCCTAGAAGTAATGTGGCAGGGCTTTTAGCACAACACCTTATATCTTCCTCAGTCTTAATGAGCCCAGTCTACTATTGTTTAGTGTCTAAACTGAAAACAGATTTCTACATTTCTTGCAGTTCTCCTCTACAGCTCTCACAGTTTCCTCAGTCTGGCTCTACCCTTTCCATGTTTCTCCCCTTGATGTCCTGCTCACCTATGTTTAGTTTGGAACCCTTCCTTGTTCCCCATCCCCCATTTGTGTATTTATAACTATTGTCCTGCCTTTTTTCTCCCCCGTTGTGCTTTGTTGATGGATTTGTGTATTTTTACTCTTTTGTTCTGGCCTTTTCCGTGTTTTATCACGTTACACCTTTTTTCTAGTTTTAGTTGAGTTAGTTCTTTGTTCTAGTTTTTCCCCTATCATGTGTGTTCTCCTTTACTCATTAGTTTTGCTTATAGACTCCTCCGTGCTCTCAGTATCTGTTGTCTTGTAAACCTGGACCCAGTGAACCTCAGAGTCCCCTCACTGTTACAATAATGCTGTAGAATTCTTTCATAATAATCTATAATCAGTCTATAGTAACTTCATTCTCATATAATATGCCAGTAGCAGCATCTTATAATAATCTGTTATACATCTTCAGTCGCTGTAGTAAACTACAGTAATCCTAGAGTAAGGAGCCTACAGAGTTCTATTCTCCTCTAAACCAAAGGGTGAATAGAGTAATATATGAAGGAATTAGATTTTACTCTTGTATTGCTATAGACTTTTCCATAAGGGATGCTTCTGCATGTGGTCAGATGTTCAGATATTGCTTGCTGAAGTAGTGTTTTTTGCCCCATTGTGAAATATGCTGCTGCTGTCGAGACTGTTTTCTCCTTAATAATAACCACATTAGAAAAATAATCACTCCAGTGATTAAACATCCATGTTACTAAGCTATGCACACAGTTCCTTATTTGTTTAAAGCCTCCCAAAGTTAAAGAAAGTCATTGCAGTTTTTCCAAGCAACATCTTATAACAAAAAAACAAACAAACAAGAAAAACACATTATGGGACAATTTCTACTATGGCATCATTTCTAATAACACAGTACTTGAGAAGTTTATACATAAATTTACATTTTCAACACTCCTCCCTCCCTGACGTCCTGTCATTTTAAAAATAAATTTGTACAAACCCAATTACAAAAAAAGTGGGTGGGTAAAGTGCTAATCAAAACAGAAAACAGTGGTTTGTAAACTGTCTTTTGCAGGTATTTAATTGAAAACAGCACAAAGATGAAAAAAATAATATTTTACCTCATCAACCTTATTGGTGTCTGTTATGATATGCTAATCCCAAATTTTGTTGCCTGCAGCACATTGCAAAAAAGTTGAGACAGTAATGTGTGGAATGATCAAAACTGGAACATTTTGGAACTTCCACAGGTAACCAGGTGAAGAGGTAACAGGTGACTCTATCATGATTGGGTATAAAAGGAGCATTCATTAAAGTATCTGTTATTTACAAGCAAGGACAGGTTGAGGTTCACCACTTTGAGAAGAACTGGGAGTAAATAGTCCAACAGTTTAAGAACATTTCTCAATACACGATTGCAAGGAATTTGGGGATTTCACCATCTATACTTCATAATATTGTAGCATGTTTAAAAAATGTTGTTGCGTGTTGGTTAGGTTATTTGTTCTTTAGCATTTATTCACTGGCTTATTTTGCTAAAGACTCTTATTGTGGAGGGCAGGGGAAGAGTGAGCAGAGAGCTGAGAGAGTCAGATGTGAGCTGGGTAGCAAACAAACTGTTAGTAAGGAGAAAACTCTGCTTGTGTACAGCATAGCCGTGGCCAACAACAGCTGAAGAATAAAGTGCCATGACTTGGGCAAAAGCTGTGTCTCTTTTAATAGCAGGGAATGCTACAACATTATCAAAAGATTCAGAGGATCTGGAGGAATCTCTGTGCCTAGAGGGCAAGGCTGAAAGTAAAATTAAATACCTGTGACCTTTGATCCCTCAGAGAGAAGGTCTAACTGCAGAGCCACAGTACCCCACTCTCAGACCCGTGCTCTCAGCTCTAGTTATATAGTGGTCAAGAGGCTATGTAGCTGTCTTATTTTGTGTTTTATGGAGGGCACAGAGTGCATAACTTTTTTAAAAACCCTCAAATACTGTAGCTGAATTTCAAATGGTGCCAAACTCCCTACAGAGTGCACTGTATAGGTCAGGAAACTACGGCTTCAGTGCACAAATAGAGCTCTAAATGTCAGATAAGGAATCATGTAGCATATGGCTAAATATACTTTTAAAATCTAGCCTGTGTGATCAGGGAAAAAAACTATGAAGTCTGTGGCATGGTCAAGCACTGGCTGGAAGATAGAGAGTCGGTAAGTGCGGGTCTGAAAGTGTGAGGTCTAAACTTTTGTTGTGGCTTTGCAGTTAGATACTGGGCCACCAGCAGGCACTGCATCAACCCTCCTAGCGTGTTCCGGGTCAAATTTACCATAACATTTTATCATTTTTTCATGAAACTTGATGACTTCCTCAAAAGTGATGATATGAACATGTAAAATGATAAAATAAAATAACCAATTTGATGTCTTTCTCTTAGTCTTTACACCATTTGGGTATAAAGATACTGTTGAAGGTCAAATTTGACCCTGTAGTTCAGAATGGCATCCGAAAAGGCAGCAGACTGAGGAAGCAGTGCAGATAGAGTTTATTACAATTTGTAAGGTTTTACACACACACACAGTTCACAGCTGTGAGTTCACAGCTCATCCTTGTATGTGTGCAGTATTTCTCTTTCGTACAAATAGACACACTGCCCATGGGAACAAAATATTTCTTATGGAATAGCACAATCCCGACCTATCGAGGCAGGGACAATATAGAGTATTGTCAAGTTTATGACAATACTATATATATAACCTGTAAGATTTTGCACACACACACACACACACATACAAACGACTCACACACACACACAATCAGTCTCTCTCTCTCTCTCTCTCTCTATCTCTCCTATCCTCTGATGAGAAAACTGATGTGCGGCAAAATGCTGAAAACGAGGCATCCGTGTCAAAAAAGACATAAACAGCATGGTCCTCATTCCCTCTTTAACTCGAGGTAGAATGGCACCTCAAAATAGATTGACCTAGATTTTGGTTTCATTTGAAACACAAGGGCCAATTTTGACCCGTAACATAAATGTTGTGAATTTATTTATCATGTGCTGTCATCAACACAAATTAAATACCTGTGAAGTACATGCATGCTAGAAAGAGATAATCCAGTAGAATACGTGGCTCCTCCATCCAAAAGAGCTATTATGAAATATAATAAATATATGTAATGGAAATCTTGATGACGTCTTTTTCAGGGACGTCCCTGCTTATTTCAGCAATACAGCGCCAAGCCACATTCTGCATGTATGCAGCGTAGCTTCACAAAGGCGAAACTGGCCTGTTTGCAGTCCAGATCTGTCTCCCACTGAAAACGTGGTGCATTGTGAAATGTTGGAATTGGGTTTGTTATATTATACATACCTATTCAGTGTTTTGTATTGATTTGAATTTAAAATGGTAAATCAACCATGATGAATTAAAACTGGCTGTTCTCTCAGGATTGTATGAATTATATGGTTCTATATAGAACCATGAAGACTGAAGGAACCCTTCGCATGCTTAAATGGTTCTGGTGAAATGGTTCTTCAGATTGATGGAGAATGTAGATATATTTTTGAAAACTAGTTCTGTGTAGCACAATTTTCAAAATGGTACAACCATCCACAGCACATTATCCATCAATCTGAAGAACCCTTTCACCATGCAAAGGTTTCTTTGAGTGTCCATAGTTCTTTATAGACACATTTTGTTAACTAAAGAACCCTTGTTGAACCATTTTTTTAAGTGTATAGGTAGTGAACAGCACAATATTAAACTTAAGTAGTGTTCGTCAAACTCATTTATTTGCAAAAATAACACAAGAAAATGGAGGTTTTCTGTGATATGACCCCTTTAAAATGTTTTTTTTTTTGTGTGTGTGTGTGATCAGTTATTTTTAACAGGTATCATGTGAAGCTTACATTCCTCTCCAGTGCAGACAAACATCAATACGTACAGTCAAAATTACAGCTGATACAAGCACAGACACAGTCATCGACACACCAGTTAGGAAAGACAAGTATAGGATGAGCCTTATGGGCGCTCATCTAATGGGGCAATACAAAATCCTTCAAAGCTGATGCAATCGCATCCCACGCCATTACCACACCTCAATTACCTTTATTTATCCTTGCAGTAGTCTGCTCCAGGACCCATTTAAAAAGGTTTGAGGAGAGGCATATTTGCTCTTATCGGGACATGTGATTTGGGAATGTCCTTCTGTTATTGGGGTAGCACTGATCTGTTTCGGTATCTGGAAGAGTACCTTGCAGGCATACCTGTCCTAATTCTGAATGATCTCTCGGGGTTGTACCTCCAGCAGTCTGCACCTCACTCTCTATCAGATTTTGGATTATTTCTTTATTTAGCTGTATTTTATATGTAGCTCTCAACACCACAGTAGTAACAATATGCCTGGAGAAAATCAGCTGATAGAGTTAGGTTTAGATGTAGGTTTTGGGTTGAAGGTAGGGTTAGGGCTAGGTTAATGGTTAGATTTAACAGAATATGTTTCATTCAGCTTAAAGCTCTGTTGAATTTAACAGATATTTAGTTGAATATCATTTAAAGAGAATCTGAACAAAGCAGTGGCCTCTTGAAATAAAGTGTTGCCATTTAGCGTTCATTTGTTAATCTGGCTAATTTCTCTGTTTTTGTCTGTGACCTGTGATAAATCTCTGTCACACACGGGTTGTTTATGCTCAATAAACACTTGAAAACAGAAGATCACACAGTGCAGGTCCAACTCTACTCACTAGAGGACAGTGTCAACAAGAAATAGCGCGAAGCTCTGCAAAGGAAACGGAAAGCAGTGGGTGAGAGGAAGGCGGGCTCAGGAAGCTCGCTTAGCTCGATTTTGAACTGTTTTAGCCACCTAGCTGCAGACTGTAGCCTACAGTTAACCCTAGACACTGCAGTGCGGGTGCATGAGGATTACCATAGTTTTAACTGGGCGTTAACCAAGGTAATTCATTGCACATTTGGCCAGCATGTTATTTCAGAATTTCTTAGCAGTGGTATTTTATTATGAGCTTTGAATTAGGAGCCTAGATTTGAGACACTTGAATATGAATACGTCGGTTAATTAGCTTGTAGGCTAATGAATTAGTAGAATAGAGCTAACGCTAAGTTAGCCTGTGGCTCTAACCGCGCCAAGCCAGTACATGATCCTGCTGCTACTAGCAACACTGTAAACAAGTAATGTCCTTGTTTTAATTTATTTTGCGAAAGTATATTTAGCTTAACTGGGGCTGCTTCAACATAACATTACTAAATTACAAGTCTTGCGCAGCTCAATGAGACACATTGCTGGTTAGTTTATCGCAGTCATTAGCCTCCAGTTCCCGAAAGCGCGCCGTTTCGCTTTCATTATCAACGAAGCTGAAGTTGCTCCAATTCGCTTCTTACTCGAATTTTCCGTTCCACCTTAAATAGTTTAGCGATCACAGTCCATCACCTCGCTGGCGCTGGAACGTATCTGCTGCACCATTTAAGGTGGAACGGAAATTTCAAATAAAGACCAATAGAAAGCCAAGCTCAGCCTGGTCATTATTCAGTGTTAGCTAAGCAGCTAATAGAAGAGCTGTTGATAAAATGACTTTACTCGCAGTTTAGTTTTCGTGCTCTAATGGAAACCGAACTATAGCTATTATTTAAGCTTTAAATCTGAAGCCAAATGAGTCATTTAAAAATAGCCTGGCTACGTTAACCAGCGTCATTTTATTAACAAAGTTGCGGCACCGGTTCGTCGTCAGATATGAATACAGAGATCATGTGTAACCTGTTCAGCTACAGATAGCTAAGTTCCTTATAGTCATTATGTTCTGGTTAGCCGAACATGAATTATGAGTTACAATGATCATAACTTAGGTTTTTATAAAATCAGAAATATTTTTTTGTAGCTATAGAATTGTCCAGTTAAGGTAATTTAAGAGCTGTGCAGCTGATGAATTGTCATATGTTTTACTAAATTAATGATAATTTCTTCATCTTTTCAGAGAGAACTCTTTAAGGGCTTTATCCCATCACATCCAAACCCAACAATGTCGTCGACATCACAGAAACACAAGGAGTTTGTGGCAGAGCCCATGGGTGAGAAGTCAGTGATGGCTCTTGCTGGAATTGGTGAAGTGCTTGGCAAGAGGTTGGAAGAAAAAGGTTTTGACAAAGTGAGTCATACTGAGTCTCTAACAATCATCTAGTAAGAATGTTTTGTAAGGAGTTTTACCAGGAGATGTTGTGAGCTAATACAGCTTTCACTTTCAATCCTGTAGGCATACGTTGTTCTTGGGCAGTTCCTAGTGTTGAAGAAGGATGAGGAGCTGTTTCGGGACTGGCTAAAGGACACATGTGGAGCAAATGCAAAACAGCAAGGTGACTGCTACAGCTGTCTGCGAGAATGGTGTGACTCCTTCCTGTAATTAGCTTTTTGGTTTTTATTTTTAGTCTAGGTTTCTGTCATTTCTTTTTCTGCCCCTCTCCTCCCTGTTTATGTATCAGGCATGTTCCTCTTGTGTGTCCATTCAAACCATTGGGACACAGTCAAAAATGCATCAGTTAGTCCAGCCTCATGTTAGCACTACAGTTCAGCGTTTGTTTCTGTCATTGACATGAAGAAAACATTGTATGTTTTGTGTCATTTGGGTTTTTGTTTTTTTGTTTTTTTCTCTTCACCTTGCCTGGCTCTATGGTTGTATTGGCAGAAGACTTTAGTTTTGGCTAGAGCTAGACCTGTAGACCGTCATTGTTATCATTGTTTTATAGTAATTGATCTCTTAAGCCAAATCCATTTGTTAAATGCTATTCAACTCAAGGACTGCTGACTGTAATTGTGTGACTTGGCTAAGAACTACACCTTCCTGATGGTGTTCTTGAAGAAATGGGTTCCAAAATTTTATGGGTTAATACTGACAAAACACTGAAATATTGTAGTGTTTCTATCTCCATAGGCGTTAGCAATGATGTAAAAGGTTTTAACCAACTGTGGCTATCTAGTAATACAGAGTTTTAAGAGTTCACTCAAAAGAAATGTGTGTGAAGGTGTAGTAATGATAAACTGAATGGCTGCTTTTCATTTTTATGTCACAGTGCTCTTTTCAGTGAATCAAAAAATGCCTTAATAAAGAAAATATTTGGTTAATTGTGCACATCAAATGTTATTTGATGTTGGATACATCTGTACTTCACATATGAAATGCTGTTCTCTTAAAATTAATGTAAATCATATTACATTTTTCTGGATCATTTCAGAAGAGAGGTAAGATTGGAAGAGCGAAACGCTGGCAAGCTAACATGAAAAACTGAAAGTGAGAACAGCTCAGAAATAATGTTTAAGCACATACTGTTATGCATTTCTTTTTTTCTTTTGGAATAAAAGTATAATCATAAATGTAATGTGCATAAGTTTGGCAATGCCTTTTTGTTTAGTCTATACTAGAGTATTGTACATTTAAGATCAAAAGGATGTTGAGAAGGTCAGTATTTGCATCAGTAGACCAGATGCTGTTAATAGAGGCTTGCATTACATTAAACATTTAACATTTAAAAATGTTTTAAGGCCAGAACCTCAAAATGTTCTTAAAACAATGTCTTGGACATCAGGCAGCATATTCGTAGCCATTTTGTGTAGTAACTTTCTGCGAGGTAGCTTTTAGATGCATTAAATGCTTCAGACGTCTGGTTCCTATCATCACAATTCTGACTTGGTTGTTCTAGAATGAAACATTCAAACTTAAAATACTTTCTTTACATCTGAGCGATTTAATTATGTAGAAATGATGAATTGGTGAAATACTCCTTAACTGGGTTATACTTGATAATAGGTATGACATGGGAATTTTCTTAAACAACCTCTGAAAGACTCGCAATTACACAAACCACCAGTCTTCGTAGCATTTTCTTTTATTTTTGATTCTGTATGCAGTATTTTTGTAAACCCCCAGGTTGGACCACGAAAAAGGTTTTATGACTGCAGTTTCTTTTTGGTTGGACTCTTAACAGTCATCTGATACTATTCAGACAATGGGAATTCGAATAACAAACCGATAGAACTGAAATCCATACTGCATCCAGGATTCTTCAAATCCGTTTCCATTTTGCAAACCTCGGTACATTTTTCAGATGATTATGTGTAGGTCTGTGCATTCCACTAGGCCAATATGTCCAAAACTCTTACCCCTTTGCCAAAATCCACAAGCATACAGAGTCATTTCAAAGGGTACTTTAAAACAAGAAAACCCAAAATATACAGAATTTATAAATCACAATTGTATATCATGTGAGTGACAAACTCCGTAACGCAAAGGATGTTACTTAAGTGTGTAATAAAAATTGAAATAATTAAAACATCCAACCCATCACCTATTTCCTTGTCATTGGTTAGAAAAATCATGTGCTTGCATGTGTATGTGTTTGCCTTACATCATTTAGTAATTACTTTCTCTCCACTGCACAGCCCCGTAATAGAGACACAGCATCTCGTATAGAACACAGAAAATAACATGAAATATCCTCAAACGAACAAGGTTAGGAATGCTTAGCCTTGGCCACTGTCAAACAATGAAATTCTGGAGCCACTTTTACAGCCACAAATTTAAAAACTATCACACGTGATATTTTGTGTTATATTCTGTGTGTATATGTGTGTGTGTGTGTGTGTGCTGTGTGTACACAAATCAGAATCATCTAAATGAGGCTAATTCCAAATCTTCCTGGGTTGTGCTCAGAGGAGGGCACAGAAGAACTTTTTCTCCCTGAACGGGTTTTCTGAGGTGGGCACAGGGGTGATGAGGGGGTCCTCACAGGCATGGGCATCACAGTAGGCCATCAAATCCGCAGCTGCCTTGGACACCTGAGTGTGCAAGGGAGGGAGCCATTCAACACAGCCTGATTCAATCAATACTCAATGAATTTTGGTTATATCAAAACATCATAACCTTGTTTCCATTCCTTTTTTATAAACCATTTGAAAACACCAGCTGCCCTTACATTAAACATTTCATGATGGATGAACCAACAGAAATAGCCCAAATGACTTGAAATACATTCTCCTTACATTAAAGTACATTAATATCATAATGCATTTTCTTTCCATATCATAAGAGATATCCAAGTGAGATGCAGGGTCAGGGAGGGTCTCTGAGCTAGCTGAGAGAGCCCTGTATTAGCATTGTTTTTGCTCGATGATAGGAGGGAGAGGTGAAACATACTACTGGTTAATATTATTTTTCCCTGCCCATTGACACACAATGATGTAATCAAAACTCAGAAGGTGGATCAACGTCATTATCTCATTTGAGGATTGCAGCAAAACAAGAATATTGTTTTGAAAATATTATGAATGGTGTCTAATATGGCCCGGGATGTGACTAACCAAGTAAAAAGGGTCAATTTTTATTTTAGGTTGACCATAAAGCTAAAAACAATATTTCTTTCACCTATAAAGTTTCCATTTTTTTAAGTTGTATTACAAAAGCGATGAAATACCATAATGCAGTAAGAAGACATCAGCTGAAATACATGATATATGCCCGTCTATTGCCAATCTGGTATGACAAATGGGTCAGTTTTGCTGTAGCCCTTAGCACAGTGGTTCCCAATCCCAGGCCTTGCTCTACAAATTTTTGTGTTTTCCTTCATCTAGCACACCTGATTCAACTTATTAGGTAATGAAGAAGCCCATCATGTGCTAAATCAGGTGTGTAAGAGTAGGGAAAATACAAAAATGTATTGCTCACACTCTTAAATATTAGGATTCCTAAATGGCCTGGATGTACTGTTAGGAAAAACCTTTAACTGGTATAGAACCTTTGCAATTGGTGAGGGTGCTTTAAACTTTGAAAAGGTTCTACACATTTGCACAGAACATTTACCAAATTGTTTCTTAAAAGCAGTGGTTTTCACACTGGTGCTCTGGGACCCACAGGCACTCAATCCCAAGTCTCAACACATATGGATAGAGTAAAAATATGAAAAATATGGACCGTTTGGGGGTCCCTTGGAGGACTGTATTGAGATGCACTGCTGTGAAGAACCATCCATTGAAAGACTGCTAGGGAACTAACAGTGGTTCTTCCATGGCATCACTGCAAAGAACCCTTTTTGGCACCCTTATCCCTGCAGGTCTGGGATTATGAACTACTGCCTTAGTTACAGCTCAAAGCTAAATCTGTTCAATGACTATAAGGGCTCCATCAGAACTGCAGCATTACAGAGAACCAATGCCTCGATATGACTGTAAAAAAGTCTTGCACTTTCACCTATTTTGATTTTGGTCAGAAGCAACGTCTGCCCTCGCACGAGAAGGCAAAGCAAAGTCAAAAGCGAAAATCTTTCGAATGCTTAAACGATTGTGGGGCATCCATGGCCAGAGGGGCTGTTAGAATTAGGCCATACCTATTAACCTGATTCTGTGGAGCATGTCTGATACAAACTGGTCTTTGAGTTCGGAGTGAGATGACTGAAAAGCAGAAGGATGCAAGATGACATTGGGGCCAAGCCAATTTTGATCTTTCTCTCTCACCTTGATCCTACAAAAGCTGGCTTCGATCTTCAGCTGTTCCACCAGCTTCCTGGCCTGACCGACACTCATGGTGCTGTTCACAGGGGTGTCTCCTTTCATCCTGCCACACACACACACATACACTCTCATTGGCAAAAATAACACTAGCTGAAGATCAAGAACACATTGCATCAGCTCATAGTCTCATAGTTAATTGCTATGAATGGAACATGTTAATCCCTGAGGGACAGAGATGAGTGAATCCCCACTGCCTCGCTAATTGTTATAGACATCACTGTTATAGATGCTTACTAGGAATCAGTTAGTGGCAGATCGTTTTTATGGCACATTTCTTGCTTCAAATGGAAGGCCGGCATCCTGCAAACCCCTCCTATCCTCACCAACACTTACGTCTCTCCTCTCCTCTTTCCTTCTTCTCCTTCCCCCCCAAGAGATTCGCCTCCACCGGTGTCATTTACTACTTCCTTGCTAAAAGCTGCTTGCCCTAGAAAACCTAAACCTCACCTTGATAAGCGACCATCTGATTGCAACAGATCTCATCATCATCATACTGCAGAACCACTGAATTTCTTCTGAGCATTTAATCAGCTTCTGCATTCCTGGTGCATCCAGTGCCTTATTGCTTAAAAATGTCTTACAGCAAATTTCAGAATCTTCCCCAGATATTAGGTTAGTGTGAACCTAAATCAGAACGCAATTGTGTTTGGGTCGCAAGGTGGCTTCCTTTTCCACACAGACCCTGTGTCCCTAGACAAATCAGTCCCCGCATGGGAAGCAGCCTCATATTTCTCAGAAACTGCGAACAAATTAATAGATAACACAGATTACTGTGATAAGTCTTAATCCACTGATGTTTTTTACAGTCCTATGTACATCCATACATCATGCACTGGCAGAAGGCAACAGAAACTGGGCCAAATGCATACACGGCAATCAGAGCTACTCACACATCAGCAGTCAACACAAAATCAGATTATATTTACAGGATGATTTAATGACATCAGTGAGACTTCAGTGAGCATCACAGATTAAAGCACAGCTGTGAAAGAATAATTGAAATTTCAGAAGCATGTGCAGGAAGATGGATGAAGAAGGAGAGGCTAGAAAAAAAACGGACCAGAAGGGATGTGCTAGTCTGTATCCATCATTCTGGGCCTTCCATTTGCCTGTCTCCCTTCTTCTTCTCTCTCTTACCCTTGTTGTGTTCCTCTTCTGGTGCTAGCTCTCCCTCCTCTTCTCTCCTTATTCCTTTCTCTTCCTCTGTCTGGCTGTGTGTTTTGCTCCCAGTGCAGCCGGACCCCACCCTCATAGACAGTGTGGATGCTACTCTGCTCTGCTCTGTACAGTCCAATGCACTGCAATTCTGCTACAATGAGCACCAGGCTCTTGATACATGCAGGAAAAACTCCCCTCTGCAGTAAATGGAACGTGCCAAGCAGGGGTAGGGGGGCTCCGCTGGAACTGATTTGTTCTGAATGCTGGGCCGTACCATTTCTGCACCAGTTTGGGTGGGGTGAGGGGGGTGGAGATGGCACGTATGGATGGAAAATATATGACATGGCTTGAAAATGCGAGATGGTTTAGCATGGCACGTACGGCGTATGGCCACAAATCAAAGCATTAACAGCAATATGTGTTGGGTACCCAGCGTCTCCTTGTCTCAGTACATCCTCCCTCATTTTCCTCTGTTACCATGGGAACTGCTGCAGTCTCATGCTCTTTGTCTATACCGTGGCACCATTTTGCCTGAGTGGTCTCTCCCACCCAGGTTCTCCACATTACTTCATCTGCATCCGTATCCCTCCCCTGTCCCCACGACCACCAAACCAACTCTTTTCTATGGCAGCCATGAAAAAACTGGTTTGAATGTGATAGGAGATATGAAAACGCTGATAGAAGCAAATATGGGATGATAAATGATATAGAATAACCTGTCGACTAGGAACAGTTTGGCCAAAGCTGATTAAACAATTTTACTCTCAAAAACTTCTAATCTAATCTACATTTTTAATAGAAATTAGAAAGAAATCACCAAATTATGCAAATCTGTGTTTTCTCATTAATTTCTAATCCAGCATCTCCGCCAGAAAATTACAACAACAACGCGTTCGTCTCTTCACAGCCGCCGTATTTGGAGTTCTGTAGTTTCTGTAGGCGGAGTTAGCAGGAAGTGGTGAAGTTTGTTCACACAATTCTTTTCTCTGCCCTGCGATATGCTTATATCCACGGCTGGGTGATATCTGTTTTTCACGAAGGTGAGTATGACTGTTACTTCATAGAATATGTCATGTTCGAGTGATTCGGACAGCTACTAACTGAGGACAAGCGACCTTCTGGCAGCAGTACGCAAGCTAAGCTAAGCTAGCCCCCTGCACTGCAGCAGCACACTGAGTGATGCTCCTAGCTGACTAGCTGCTGTTCACACATGCTCTTAATCAGTATTATTAATAGTCCAATTATGAAACGAAGTTATATGAGTGTCAGACATTTTAGTCATTACATTAGGGCGAAACAAGTGCCATGAAACTCTTCTTTTTGATGATGTTACCTCTTTGTCATTGCCATGTTGGTCATAAGAACGCAGCGTCCCCTCCTCTTACTGTAACTGTGACTCAGTTTGAGCTATTTAGCTACCTAGTTTTCTCGCCTAACTCATTTAATAAGAGTTGGTTTGACACGTTAACACCATTAAGGCATTTTGGAAAATGTGTCTCTTAAAGGACGGAACTGACCTTGTTCAGCTATATAAAGGAACATGATAATGTTTCTTAGTTTACTGTTGGAAGAAGCACTGTTTTATTACAGTACAGACTCTGATGGCCTGTTATCGTGTTTTTGGAAGTTCTTGACTGATGTTCCTTTTGTGTCTTGTCCTTTTTAGGTTTTTGAGGATAACAACAACCAGAAACTCTGAGTTATTCAGAGAACAATGCCCCTCAGAACACAGTCAGTGACATAACACTAGGAATAATGCAGGGATGCTGCATTAAAAAATTGTTTATTGATAAAATGCCCCTGGAAAAGGATTACAATGTGTCTGTCTTCAGTCTTTTGCACCACTAGCAAAACTCAGCGAACACAATTAACAGTGTAGGAGTGGTTGAGTTGGCTTGTATGAATACTGGGAGACGTCGTTCTGTGCCAGGAGCAGAGGGCAGGCAGAGCCCAGGGAGTGGCAGACCTCAACCAGGGTGGGACGGCTGCGGCCTGGAGCAAATGGGCACGATGATGGGCCCCGTTCTGCTCTGGCTCCAGGACGTGGCGGCCGTGACCCTGCTGAGGGCTCGGCGCACTTTGCTGCGGGCCGCCATTCTGTTGTCTGTGCTGGTGCTGCTGCTCTGGGTGTCTGTCTTCCTCTATGGCAGCTTCTACTACTCCTACATGCCCACTGTTAGCTTCTCCACACCAGTGAACTACCAGTACAGGTACAGACCCTGATTTGATATGTTGCTGTGTTGTCTGCTGTATGATATTAGTACGAAAGTTAATCTTTAAAGCTGAGATCAAGGATTTGTAGAAGGCATTTTTGTTGTATTTTTGTATGATATTCGTATTGATCACTAAACATTCCTTGTATATTCCATATCATCGCTGTCCAGAGGAAACCATGTATCTCTATTTTTGTTGATTTTTATTTTTCTACATCATTTCAACACACCAGGTCTCCTTTACATCATGTGTAACTTTTTTGATGAACGGACAAGTAGAAATGGTCTAAAATCTCTTGAAATAAAATGTGTTTACATTAGGTTACATTAAAAGTAACGAGTGCCTTTTCTTGTAAAGTTACTATTTTGGAGATACTTGTTTTTCTTTGGACAGCGACGATATATAAGCCATTTGTCTAATTAGGCAACATAACAATTAAAGTCTGATTTTGTAGATTACAGGGAATGTAAATGTAAACAAACTCATTTAAGCTTTACAAATTAAAGGTGAATTTCACTATTTTTTAATCAGTAATTCTGTTCAATAATGTAATCAACAATGCAATTGTGTATCTCTTAATTGTTAAGATTTAAACAAAGTCAACAAATAGTTGAAATGCACCAAAGAAAACATATAAATCTATTACTATTTTACCATTATCAACATTACAGATAGAAACTCAGAAGACACCTATAGATTCTCTGGTGGTTTTGGATAGTGAATAAAATGGCTGTGTTTACATTGTAGACATTGCAACCCCTAATTCCTATCAATGACTTTGTTTACATCAATTGAATATGCAGATATTTTGGAAAATTGTTGAAATTCATCTTATTTTTCTTTATGCCATGACTGTTAGTGCCTGTGTTTAGAGCTTTGTTTGTGTTTCTGAGGAAACTGTAGGCCTTTCTGTACCACAGCTACTGTTTTTCTTAACTTTTTAATAATTGCTCTAAATGGACATAGGATTATTATATTATCAGAAAGTAATTGGATTCACTGATCATTGTTTCAGAACTGACTGCGAACCTGCCAACTCCGTTCTCTGTTCATTCCCCATGGCCAATGTCTCACTCCTAAAGAATGGCAGAGAGCAGGTGAGGTCTTCATTCTTATCACTAGTCATTACATAGCCATGCACAGTACTCAGAGACACAATAGACTATGAATAGTCCAGAATCAATTCACTTGTGTACAGTTTCTTCCACCAATTGTCTATACTGGCTGAGATCTTTCAGCTTTTGGTCATATTGCATATTATATACACCAGAATATTTAAAAGTCACGCCCATGTCCAGAAATAATGTTTTATCTGTAACAGCAGAAAGATAAATCTCATAGTTTAATATGCAGTAACTCTGACTTTTATCTCTACTGTAGGTGATGATGTATGGTCAGCCCTACCGGGTTTCTCTTGAACTGGAGATGCCGGAATCTCCAGTTAATGAGCAGCTCGGAATGTTTATGGTCAAAATGTCCTGCTACACCAAGGGCGGGAAAACCATGTCCACTGTGGCTCGATCTGTGAGTAATGGTGGAGACTCTTTCCTCCACACCAAAGTTATAGTTTTTGTAATGCAGTTTTAATTTCAACATTATATAAAGTATAGTTTTTGGGGTTTTTTGGTGTGTGTTTGATTTAGTGTCCCTGTGACATTTCCTGTGATAGATTGTTCAGCTATGATTATATATAGTCAGTCATTTATAAACATCTATTATTTTTATTTAGATTTTTTTTCTCAGCACAAACTGAAAACTTTAGCGTTGGCAATGAATAAGCATTAGGCCCACTGCTTATTCAGTGAACTACAAAATATGTTTTGCTGTTTTTGCTCTATTTCAGTTAGATTTAATGGTAATGATTACTATTTTTGTTTTTCTGTCATCCACTTTCGTGGAACTTTGCTTATAAAAGTGATTTATTTGTTTATTAGAACAATCCTGCCCCACACTGTTATTACAATGTTTTGTGATGTTGATTGACCAAAGCTGCTCGATGTTTCATTCTTGAATTCACATTGCATTTCACATTGCACATTGAATAGTGTTGTAAGTGCTTAGTTTCCCAGCACACAGTAGAGTAAGTTGTTTGTGACCTGTGGCACATACTGGAACTGTCATGGAATCGGATGATTTATATCTGAGTTAAAGGGAAATGTCACTTAATTTCTGTATAGTTTAATCATTGAGATATAAACCGTGTCATTCAGGGTGGTTTGATGTGAAATGCTGCATTGTAGAGAAACTTATAGGAACCAATGTTTGCAATGTCTACAGTGCAAATATATACATTTTATTCACTATCCAAAACCACCAGTAAATGTACACGTTTTCTGAGTTTTTTTCCAGTGGTAAATCAAAAACCAGTTGTGCAACTTCATGATTACTGTGTGAATCTTGGACTCTGCCTATGTTCCTCATTTTAATATTACACTCCAACTCTTTTCCTACATGTTGCTGTGTGCTGTCTCATCAGGCCATGCTGCACTATCGCTCCAGCCTTCTGCAGACCCTGAGCACCTTGCTGTTTTCTCCACTGTTACTGACAGGGATGTCTGAGCAGAAGCAGCTTATAGAGGTGGAGCTCTTCTCAGACTACAAGTCTGACTCTGTGAGTATCCTGAGGATGATTTAGCTCAGATATTTCATCATTCTCCACCCATGACATGCACTCCCTGCATCATATGAGCATAACGTAAAATGACGTGTTTCCAATAATAGAATGTGAGCTCATAGTCATGACCTTTGTCATTGTTTGTGTCATACACTGATCAGACATAATATAATGACCACCTCCTTGTATCTACACTCATTGTCCATTTTATCAGCTCCACTTACTATATAGGTGCACTTTGTAGTTCTACAATTACAGACTGTAGTCCATCTGTTTCTCTGCATACTTTGTTAGCCCCCTTTTACCCTGTTCTTCAGTGGTCAGGAC